GTCGGTGACAGAGTGGATTCATAGGTAGCTTGTGTGCAACGAGAGGCCCGGCAAGATTCGTAGGATGCGACACGCAAACGCATATGGTGGCGTGGCAAACCTTGAAAAATGAAAACAACGAGAGGCGTCAGAAGCTGTCTGAAAGCACCTCTGGGTTCTGCATGCTGCGTGTGCAAAGATTCTTGCGAGGTGGTTTACCGAGAAGACTGAGGTCTCAAATGAACAAGTTGAATCGGTGGAACATGTAAAAGTTCGTAGCACCAAGTCCAAAACGGGCAAACCGAGACTGCTGAACACTGAGCCACTGCCGGGGGGGGGGGGATGGACCAGGGAGGAATCGAGCCTGAGACCGGGGGGGGGGGGAGGGGGGTCTAAATAATTGTTGTTTTTCAATCTTTTCGGTTCAAATAATTGAAAAAATCAATCTTTCAGCATTTGAGCCCCTTACCTTGCTTACGCAAGGAGAAACTTCAGCTAGCTAAAGCTAGCTTTCGTGATTAGGACCCCCCCTTTTGACCGCCCCATCTTGAGCTGACTGGGTCATATCGGACATGTTTCGTGAGTCCCCCGGGTTTTGTGGTTGAAACGCAGAAAGCAAACATGTTCGACCAACAGATTGAAGATCATACATTAAAGCTAACAATTAGACCAATCATACGTCCAAAAGGTGCTTCAAGACTTTAGCTTCCTGTCCACTGGAACCTGCAAGAGGCATCGGGGGAATCCAATGATTCTAGGCCCATGGAGTGTTTCTCAAAAAGGGATTCCGGAGACTTTTGTTGAGAATGAAAGGAGGTGCGAAGACTTCGACATCTTGCAGTACATGGCCAAATGGTTTCGGATTCTCGCTCGACACGGGGAGGATGACTCCAGGACCTTCCCTTGCAACTGTCTGTCACCCAAGATGGCCCCCTTGGGCACTTTTCAGGTATCCTTATGATTTGCCACGCGCATGCTTCTGAGTCGTCAAAGTTGCCCAGACGTTCAAACACCACATCTGGCACCCTTTGATGTCTTTGACAAGGTCTTCCAGTAGAGAGGTTAGAATAACGGTACCCTTTTGGCCGTAGTCTATTTTAGTAGGGGAACCTTCCCCCAACAAAACTGCTGGGGGACCTAGTCAAGCGCCAAACGCCCAAGCCACCATCCAAACCTCGAGTTCGATTCCCTCGCCTCTGGCGGAGCGGCGCCCAAGCCACTGCAGCCTGGCGATTCGCCGGCACGAGGTCCCAAGGGGCGTCTTAAGCGCTAAGCCCAGGTGGTATCCCCAACACCCCCCCGGAACCCGCCGGGGAACCCTCCAGAACCCTCCCTGAACGCTGCCCCAAGGATTTCCATGGGACAAAAAAAAGGATCGCCGTCCTTTCTTTGGTTGGTGGAGTTTACATGCCTTACCCCCAAAAAAAACGAGGAAAAATGAATTGGCGAAACCCCCTTTGACAAGTGGGACTCATCTGATCGACCAAAGCCATAGCTTCCAGCTGAGCCAGGAACAACACACGCGCTTCCCAGCGGCCGAGCGATTCTTTTTGCTTAGAAGGGGAAGGCCAGGTCCGCGGTTCGCAGCCACTCCAGGTCCTTGCGGAGGGGACCCGACTCAGCCGCCCCGGAGGGTCTCGACCCAGAAGCAAAAGGTGATCACCTGTTACTGAGGTCCTCCAGTAGAGAGGTTAGAAGAAGTTGGTACCCGATTTTTTTCTGTAGTCTATTTTAGTAGGGGAACAAGGGTGAGAAAGGGCACTACTGGGGGACCTAGTTTGGGTTGAATCAGGAAATCAGAAGGTCAGATCCGGTCGATTCGCTTTGGGCAACTGAGTTTTGCGGGACCCCACCCGCTTTCACCAGATGTGCTAGGGTTCAGAATGGAATCGTCTTGGTGAAGTTATACATTCAAACCAAAGCACTCTGCTTTGGGGGGCGGTTCTGAAATGGCCATGGGGCATAACCTATGGCTCCATTTTGGGGTGGATGAACATCCATTTGCCACCTATTTTGATGTTCACCAGGGGTACAGGGTTTTGACCCCAAATCCTTCGGTCCCACAGGGCTCTCTACCTTTCCCCCTTGAATATCACCCCAAGTTCCTTAAAAATTGGAAAACCAAATAACGGTCCAGAGAGCCAATAGCTTTCAGCTGTTGGGGACAATAAGGGGAATCGGCAACCGCGATTGGTTTTGCCGAAATCAAACCAAAAGGTCGAATCTACTCCAAACTAGCAACTGCTCAAAACTGTTTCAAACCCCAAGGGCTCGAAATCTGAGGAGCCCTCCAAATGTTTCCGCAACCGCCATCATTTTCAAAGCACAAAAAAAAAATGAGGAGCCCTCCCATTTTTTCCGCAACCACCATCATTTTGAAGCACCAAAAAAACAAAAAACTAAGGAGCCCTCCCAATTTCTCCACAACCTCCATGAGTTGCTGCACCAACTGCTAACCAACACAAAACCCCAGCCCCGAGCCCCACTTTCACCGACGAAACCTAAACCGGGGCGCCACTGGCCGGAAGTCTCGCGGCCGGCACCGGCCGTCCCCCAAGAAGAAGCGGTAGGCCGCGTAGATCCAGTCGGGCGGCGGCTGCCACGTGCAGACCACCTAACTTGCCCGCGAGGAAAAAGTCCCGGCAGAACGGGTGCGCGCATGCTTCGGCGCCGTTTCACTTCTTCGCATGTTTGGGGTTTAGTGTGTAGTGATTGGTGGTTGGCATTTGGTGTTGTTTGGTGTTGTTTGTGTGCTTGTGTGTGTGTGTGTTTGCTGTCTTGCTTTCTTGCGTTCTTGCTTGTTTGTTCGTTTGTTCGTTTGTTCGCTTGCTTGTTTGCTTGTTTGCTTGTTTGCTTTGTTTGCTTCTTTGCTTGTTTGTTTGTTTGTTTGATTGTTTGTTTGACTTAATTTTATGTGTGCTTGTTTTTGGTGACAATTGTAGACTGTGTTGTGTTCTTGCGTCTTTGCTTCTGTTGCGTTGTTTGTGTTTGCGTGTTGTGTTTGTGTTGTGTTGCGTTTTGCGTGGTGTGCGTGATTGTCTGGTTGTGTGTTGTGCGATTGTGTGTTTTGCATGTGTTTGTGTCTGTTTTGTGTGCGCTTGTGTGCGTGTGTCTTTGTATGTGTTTGTGTGTGTGTTGTGTGTTTTGCAAGTGTTTGTGTGCTTTTGTGTGCACTTGTCACTTGTGTGATGTTGTATGTGTTTGCGTATTTGTGTGTTTGTGTGCGTGTATTTGTGTGTTTGTCTCTGTGTGTGTGTGCGCGCGTGTTTGTGTTGTCGTGTTTGTCTTGTCGTGCGTTTGTGTATGCTTGTCTGTGTTTGTGTCTGTCTGTGTTGTGTTTGTGCTTGTGTCTTTTTGTGTGTGCCTCTACTTCAGGTAGGTTTGCAAGGAAACCAACAATACAACTACAACCGACGACGTGGTGCGGGGTTGCTAAGATGTTGGTACGTCCCTTCTCAGCCAGGGAACGGGGACGTGCAAGCAAGGTAACCGGGTTGCGTGATGACCATGGGTATCCACCTACGACTACATACACTGCCCCTTTAAGAAAAACGCTGTGAGTTTAATCCGGCCAACGCGATGGGAGGAACAACTCAAGACCCAGCAACGAGGGAAATCTTGAGGCTCAAGATGCTGAGAGCCCGTTTGGGAGAAACTCCTTGATGAGGAATAACTCTACACGCGGGATTGTGAGAAACCTTCGGAGTACGCAGTTCGAAGCAAGAAATGGCACAAACCTCTTCCGTGGTCTTCTCCTACGTTAGGGAACCCCCTCTTGGACGCACATTTAGCGAGGAACCACAAGAATGCCAAGGGTCGTGCTAGGAAGCACCCTTTCGTTGCCCAATATGAGTACACGACAATTACTGAACAGCCAGGCGGTTGGAAGAGCTCCCAAGGAAAGCTACCTGATGAGTATCGGTTGACCAAATCAATCTACTCGCATCCACCAAACCTTGATGAAACAATCCAATCAGCCAGAAATTTGGGAAATTGTGTAGGACATCAGCCAAATACCACACGGAATCCGCTTGGAAGCAGAGCCCTGACGTGAGAAGGCCACAAGAGCCTTGCAAAAAGAACCGTCGCTTGTTTGCGTGCCGCCGAATACCCCGGCCGCAGTCCAGCGACTGAGATGTCAATTGCTCGCAACTCTGTCCCCAAAAAAGTCGGGCCCCGCTCAAGAAACATGGGGGGATTTAGCCAGATCAGACGACAGGAAGGGGGGGGGGCTGCTTTAGCCTCTGGCTCAATCGCGAAGCTCGGCTGAAAACCTTGAAGCCCTCTTGGACCTCTGAGTCTCTCTGAGCTTCACGCTCGCACTGGGAACTCCTGGACAAAGGCAGGCGAATCGGAGTGTTTGAAAAAAAAAAAACGTTTTCACAAAGAGACCTAGCGGAACCTGACGAAAACAGAAAGCGCGGCAGCAAGGCCGAAGCGGCCGAAAGACCCAAAGAAACGAAAACACAATGCCATCGACAACAATGAAGACCGTCGACTGCCATGCAAAAAAAAACATATCAGCTCTAGGCATGAAGCCAGGTTCTCTGCAAGTGGGCAATTAAGGCAGAACTCTTATCAAAGGCTGAAATGGCGTGACATTGGCCCATCATACTGGCAACACGTTAAGCCGCCGCCGTTGCTTCGTTCGCGCGCCCACGTTTGGAGACCGCTAAACACGTTTGGGCGCCATACAAACGACGCCAAGTACTCTTTGAAGCCTTCTTCGAGATTTCCTCTGTTCAAGAGAGCTCTCAGCAATGGGAAGGCGGGCACTGCAAGACCCTGTGCAGTCCGTGAGCTACCAATAAAATAAGCAAAGTGGCTCAAATTGCGCAAGGCAAGGGGGCCACAGAACGAAGATTTACAGTTGCTTGGAGGCCCTTGTAGGAGAATCTTCGCGAGGAGTCTTGCCAAACAAGACGTCTTCGAAGGCCCAACCAGGTTCTGCCGGCGCAAAACATTGCTTCCGCAAAATTTGCCACACCTTCCATGCCTCTCTGCCTGTGAGCCCACTCCTCTCACCCAACGAGCGGCTCCTCCTCACCTTCTCCAACCGCCGTCCAGCTTTGCAGCAGCGGAAGGTCCAGCTGAACCACCGGCCCCCGCACCCAGACCTCCAGAGCAGCTGAAGGAGGTCAACATGAACTACTGTAGGTCCTCCAGTAGAATAAGGCTACCCGACATTTTTCTGTAGTCTATTTTAGTAGACGAAAACCCTCCCAACCAAACAGGGGGAAGAAAGGGCGTTACTGGGGGACCTAGTGAAACCTTCGACCTCAAAGTTCACGCAAGGCTGGCATGCTCCCGGAATCTGTCAAAAAGTAATCTATAGGTCCTCCAGTCGAGAGATTAGAAGGGTACCAACTTCTTTGTGTAGTCGATTTTAGTAGGGGAAACCCTCCCCCCAAAAAAGGGTCAAAGGGCACTACTGGGCGACCTAGTAATACGCGCAGGAACTCCTGGAGGTTCCAGCAAAGTGGTGATCGATAAACAGGAACCCAGATTTTTTTCTCGGGCACCACCGAATATAGCCACTCGCCAAAATTTGCGTCACTGAAGAGAAAGTGGTGGAAGAGTCCCCTGTGTCCGACTGGACTTAGTAAAGGCCGGACCGAGTGAGTGAGTGAGTGAGTGAGTGAGTGAGTGAGTGAGTGAGTGAGTGAGTGAGTGAGTGAGTGAGTGAGTGAGTGAGTGAGTGAGTGAGTGAGTGAGTGAGTGAGTGAGTGAGTGAGTGAGTGAGTGAGTGAGTGAGTGAGTGAGTGAGTGAGTGAGTGAGTGAGTGAGTGAGTGAGTGAGTGAGTGAGTGAGTGAGTGAGTGAGTGAGTGAGTGAGTGAGTGAGTGAGTGAGTGAGTGCTTGTCGCAAAATGCGAGAGGCCACATGGAACGCCCATTTGTGAAGGCGTCCCACCCTCTGTTTACTTGGGTTGCTCCACAATGGGGGGGCATCCCCAATTCCCCAGCACTAACAGGGCTTCCGCCACGTAACCCATCTGGCATAGTTCTTCTAGTCATTGCTTTTGAACCCAGCTGTCATAGTTTATCAAGCTATCATTTGAAACCAACAGGACAAAGTAAACAAATATATACATATATATATATATACATATATACATATATATATATATATATCCTCAAACGGAAGTTGGAATGCGGTTCTTGGCCCTGGCTCCAGAGAGGTTAGAAGAAGTTGGCACCCATTCTTTCTATTTTGTCTATTTTAGAAGACGAAAACCCTCCCAACCAAAAAAGAAACGGTAAAAGTTGGCACTTAGCTGGGGGACCTAGTAAAGGTTGATATAGGCATTACTACTGTGGGTGGCGGAAAACCTCTACCACTTGGAGTTGTTGGGTCTGCCAAGATGGTTATCTAGGTCCCAAAAAAAAGGTGAGAAAGGGCACCTAGCTGGGGGATCTAGTTATAAAGGTTGATATAGGCATTGCATTACTACTTGCATTACTACTGTGGGTGGACGAAATCCTGCATGGGGTACATAAAACCATACAAAGAATGGGATAAACCACAGCTAGAAACGCCTCGGGGGACCGTTCGGAACCCGGGGGCCCGCGCCAAGGTCTGCAGCCAGACGCGGATGTTGTGCACCTCCACCCTCCGGGCGCGCTCCACGGCCATGGCGTGCTGCAGGTCGTCCTCTGCGGTGCCTGGCGCGCGCAAACGGGAAGGCCACTGCCCGGAATCCTCGCAAATAATACGACTTTCACCACCCAGAGGCTCCTGGGGCTTTTATTTGTAAGGGATTCCCTGCACATGTTTATATGGGTCAGTTTTTTGTTGAGGGCACCCTTTTCAGGTTGGCTAAAAGGGACACCAACCTGACAACCACATTTTTTGAGTTATGTTCCTTGTTTTCCTTGTTTTCCTTGTCGAGAAGGCCATGAGGAAACCACCGCGACAAATCGCTGTGGTTGTCAAAACCCCGTACCTCCAGTGATGGCGGGAAGGCTGGAGAGTTTGTTTTTGATTCGGCTGTGGTGGTCAAAATTGTTTTGGGATCTCATTTTGGTTTGTAGGTGAATTCACCATCCATTTTAGAACCTATTCTAATGATTGGATTGGATGTTCACTGGGGGGTACGGTTTGGATTCCACCCAGAGGCTCCTGGGGCTTTCAACGGAACACCCGAAAGAAAAGGAGAACCCATTTCGAAGGCCACCGATTTGGTCCCCAAAACATGTCCATCATGGTGGTTTCACTGCTCTTGGCATGTGAGTCACAATCAAAACCCGGCACAAAACTTGGTGGCTGTTGACCCCTCTGCGAAAAGCTTAACTTTTTGTGGGTTGAGTGGAAAACCCCTTGATTTCCCAAAGAGTTAAAGTCTAAAGATCTAACCCAAGAAAAATGGTCCACCCAGAACCATGTAAAGAACTAAGAAGGCGGATATTCGAAGCTATTTAGGGCTGGGATCGTCCCTTACTAACCTTCACTTACCCGGGCGTTGATTGTGGCTCAAATGACTTCACCCACTGTGAAACAAATGAATGGGAATCCGAAAGGAAGGCCCGCCCTTTTTGAGGGGTCCCCAAAAAGAACGACACGCTCACAGCCCATAGCACGAATCCAACAAATAAAATGAGATCAAGTTGGGGGCGGAATTTCACGTTGCCACAAACTTAGTGCTCCGACTTAAGTATTAACTTTAATTAGAGACCCACGTTGAGGGAGTTCCCTGCTGTAATTAATTTACCCAGAGGCTCCTGGAACTTTCAATGAAAGACCCGACCCCTCCATTAGACACCAAGGTGTTTGGGGGTCTCAAAACCCGGCTGTTTGAGGGCCCTAAATTGATCGGGAGCGTCTGGAGGAAAGCAACTCAAAAATTGTGGTTGTCTGGTCGGTGTCCCTTTTAGCCAACCTAAAACCTGAAAAGGGTACCCTCAACAAAAAACAGACCCAAAAAAACATGTGCAGGGAATCCCTCACAAAAAGAAAACGGAAGCATTGGTTTAAATCAACAAGGTGCACTACGGCCCTTCCATGTTCAGCCCTTGAAGTGACGCAAACAACAAAAAGCAAACAAGCCAAACAAACAAAAATAAACAAAAGCAAACCAAAGCGCATGCAAACAAAAGCATAAACAAAGCGACCCAGAGGAGTCGATAAACAAAGCGACCCAGAGAGAAGTCGAACCTCCACAGATTGCGAACTTGCATCATGCAAGTCAGAAGCAACGCCTTACCCCAACTAACTCAGATTGGAAGCAGGGGGACCCTCAACTTTGTTTCTGTAGTCTATGTCAGTGGTGGAAGCTCGTCTTAGCTCCGGAAAGCTCGTCTTACCTCCGGCAAGCTCGCTTTTCGTGGAAGCTGACGATCGGAGGGTTTTGGGTTTGCCCAGATTCCCCATCCCATCGCCTTTGGGCCGGATCAGCGATGGGACCTTCAGCGCAAAGGAGAGGTCCTCAGCTCAGTTGTTTAGTGACCCTGGAAAAAAGAAAGGGGAACCCTTTTTGGGGAAGACCATTTTCAGTGGGGCAGCCACACAAAAAAGGAAAAAGGGTGCCACTGAACAACAAACATTCCGCCGCAAGGAGTTTATGCATTTGCCCTAAGAGCCCAAGACCTCACTATTGGAGGCTTTTCGGGGTTGTCGCGCGATTGGCACCTCAACTTTGTTATGGAAACCTTCCCCGGATTTCCTCCTGCGAGTTGGGGTCTCATGATGGCGAAAGAGGGGGAGGGGATACCTAGGATTTTAGGGGAGGGCCCAGTTGCCCCTGAAACTTCCACGGCTTCACATGTCCCGCATTTAGGCCTGGGCTCGCGGTGCTTTTTCGTCCGAGCGGCATAGGAGATGGGCGGAAACATGGTGAAGTGGCGATGCGCGGGGGCCACCACCTCAGTCGAGCCCATCTGGGACGCGCGGGGGAGTCCGGTGGCCAGGTCGAAGGCTCTAGGCAAAACATAAGGTACTCCTCTAGGCTCATTCGAATGCCCCCCCCTGCCTGACTTGTTTCTTGAACAATATGATCACTTCTCCGGGCTAGGGTTCAAGGGTCTATTCCAAGGGCCCAATAAAATGCCCCTAGAAATTCCCCAATTGAAAGTAATCTCTTCCCCCTCTTAATAAATACGGCCCCCCCCCCCTCCCTATTGTAAATAAATCCTCCCAAAAATAGATGTTTTTTTAATTGGGGTTTTTGGGGTTGGGTTTTTTGCTTTTCCAACAATGTGAGGGTTCGCATAGGATTTGGAGGAAATGGATTGAATTGTAAGGTCCGCGAGTAAGCGGTTTAATAAGGAAATGTCATGTATCATTCTATTTGTTTTTCAGTTTACTGGTTGTTTGTTGGCAGCCAGGCAGGTTAGCCAGCATGTATGGGGGAGAGACAGTCACAGCTTAAAAGTGGGGCTGGAAGCTTGTTAAAAGTGCCCCCTAATAAGGATTCCAAGACTTTAGTATTGGTTTAGTATTGGCGCAATTAAAAATCAATTGTGCGGAGTGGAAATCTGGTCTCGGGCCCCGGATTTGCATTTATTATTAATGGGGGTCATTCATTAATTGGGGGAGGAGATTAGGATATGTCCCTATGAAAGGAACCTTCAGAGGTCGCAAACGCCCTGAAAGGTGACGTTGCTAGAAGTTGTCCAATTCTTGTTGGTGACAATTCCCCCTCCCAATACCCACTGGATATATTTGGAGAACCCAGTTTCCCATGCCGAATACCTCCTTTCAGAAGTTAACATGATACCCCTAAACCAAGCAGGTGTGTATTTGGGGGTTCTTCATCCAGGCCAGTCTCAATTAATCCATACTCGAAACCCAGCATTCAGAAACCCGTTGCTTCAATAAAATTTGCCCCATACCCTCAAATGTTGATATGGGCTGGTGCCCCATCCCCTCTGTTGATATGGACTGGTGCCTAGATCCTGCCCAAACTACGATGATTTTCCCAAACCAGGAAACGAAACAACTCGGAAAAAAAGGAAGGCCCCCGCATGTCTTCAGCCTTTGGTGTGAGCTTCGGCCTACCGTGTTTTTTTTTTTTTTTTTTTTTTTTTGGCCCCCCGCGTTGCAACTGTTGACGGGAGCCTTTTCTCAGGCGAAGAGCTTAGGACGCCCGAAACTCAGATGCCCAGTGGATTTCCATGGGGAACAAAAAGAATCGGCATCCTTTTTGGTTGGTTGAGTTTTGGGGGAACCCTTCCCAAGAAAAAGCTGAAAAAGGAAGCGACCAACTGGGCAACTTGGAAAATATTGGCAACGGAAGTTGAGTGTTGTTTGCAATATTTAAGGCGTCCACACGGAAGTTAGTTGTAAGGGAGCCAAATCTTTTCAAGCAGCAGCATCTTCTGGCTTGCCTTCAAGTTCAGATCGTCTTTTTGATTCCTTGAAACATGTCGCGCCCCCCAAAGGCAAGCGGTGTGTGGCCATTTGAGCCATCGTCAACATGTCGTGGTTCCTCTAAATCACATGGGACAAGTAGAAATTGAGTCTGGCCGGTTTTTGGTGGGAATCTAGTGTTATGTAATTGCACCGGGCCCATATGCCCCTTTGGACAAGGGGAAACTCACGGATCCTCCCTTTTTTAACCAATTTGGGTTGGGTCACAATTGAGTCACCCGACCGCAGGTGTTAGCCTACTTTTTCACTTGCCAGTGTCCCATTTTGGGTACCTATTTTTGACAACCACCGCCATTTCAAGCCTCGTGGGTGTAGACGTCCGAGGTGGCGCAAATGTGCTCCTCGCTGCCCTGCAGCAACTCGCGCCTCGGGATTCGGCAACGGGGACTCGGGCACGAAGAAAAAACTCACTTCCCTCGGTTGCCTTCTGCTCCCCTGCTAAAAATGACTAACTCTTAGTGGTTGAATGGAAATCCATTTGGCAAAAAGTTCAAGTCCTAAAATCCTTGGGCAAAATGCACCAAAGCACCTGTCAGGGTCATCCACCTTCTGATGACAGTTTTTTGTTTTTACACTAAAAAAGAAAAATCACGTCAGCAAACAAATCCAGTGGCGATTGCATGTCCGTTCTTTTCAACCACCGTTTGCTTCAGAAATGGCACTTCCCCTCGGTTTTTGGTGGGGACTTTGTCTTGGGATGGAAAGCTCGAGAGGAGCTACCAAAACAGAGGTTTGGGGTTCCCAACGCATATCCATACCAATGAAAAACATGGAAAGGGGCGCAACATGCTGGCCGTCCATCCAAAAACGAGGTATCTTGGGGAAACCGGCTGGCCAGCTTTGTATTTCTCATTTGCAGGGAAGGACCTGCCACAGAACTGGGGCAGCTGGGCATTTCAGGTGGAGTTTGGAACCTTCAGATGGAGGTGGCTTTATGTTACATGTTATTCTGTTATTTCAACTAGTTCAAACTTGCAACTCGTGAAACAAACGGGTTGGATGCTTTTCGGTGATCCAACCTCGTTTCCAGGTCCCCTGAAGGTTGTTGGGAAACCAGACTGTTGAGGGAGGGCGACTCGCCGTCTCACCCAAATGGGTTTTGAACACGCACCATGTTCCAGCTGAATCGCTTTGGGCACTGTGAGCCTGAATCAATACCGGCTTGCTTTACTTGTGCTTATGGATCCTGAATCTTTGGTGGTCAAGCAGGCAGCATATGGCTGTTCGTCAAAACCGCGAGCCCTCTTAAGTAGTTCGGTTGTCCCAAGAAGCCGTGAAATCTTACATTTTACCCCTCACTGACATGATGAGAGAAAATATGTGAATCGCAGGTTGGGGTTGACGTTGTTCAAACACATGTTTTCTTTTACCCTGCTCCCAACAATCATGGAAGTGGACAGGCCTCTTCAAGAGGATGGTCTGCCTAAGCTCTCCTGTGCAGCTCTATCATTGATAGAAAAAGGGTAAACATTCTCGCTGGTGCTCAGTAGGGAATGGCTCCGGGTGTTGGGAGACCCTCTCAAAGGAAACCACCAGTTGGACGGTTTTTCCTCGGTGGTCATTCCATTTCTTATTCCCTGCCTATCGAACCAGCAAGCATGGCTCTCGACAACCGAGCACTGGCTTCGGATTTCTTTTGGTCCTCTGACTACCCCACCGAGGTTTCATGGAACCCGTCTTTCTTGCTTTGGAATGCTCCCTTTAGAGGGACCGGGACCCGAACATCAGGTTCCAAGTGAAAAGGGTGGGAGGGTAGATCATTGCCTTACAAGTGGAGCCACCCCTGCAAATGGTTCAATGTGAACGTGCGTGCATGTACCTTGCTTTTCGGAGCCTGCAATCCCAACGCTAGCCAAGGACAAACACTGTTGAAGGGAAACCACCGGTTGGCCAACCCAACAAACTTAGGGTGTGGGCGGCAATGAGGGCATTTGTTTTTGTCGCTTCTTTTTTTTCCGATCTGCAGACTTCAGGGGGTCCCTCAACCATGGCACACGTTTGACCCTGCCATCCAAGAGGCGCCATGGCCCGGTTCATCAGCGAGCAGTGGTTGGACCTCAGGTGCGTGTCCCTTTCACGCTCTTTTTTGCTTTTGTGTTGGTGTGTGTGTGTTGTGTGTGTGTGTGTGTGTGTGTGTGTGTGTGTGTGTGTGTGTGTGTGTGTGTGTGTGTGTGTGTGTGTGTGTGTGTGTGTGTGTGTGTGTGTGTGTGTGTGTGTGTGTGTGTGTGTGTGTGTGTGTGTGTGTGTGTGTGTGTGTGTGTGTGTGTGTGTGTGTGTGTGTGTGTGTGTGTGTGTGTGTGTGTGTGTGTGTGTGTGTGTGTGTGTGTGTGTGTGTGTGTGTGTGTGTGTGTGTGTGTGTGTGTGTGTGTGTGTGTGTGTGTGTGTGTGTGTGTGTGTGTGTGTGTGTGTGTGTGTGTGTGTGTGTGTGTGTGTGTGTGTGTGTGTGTGTGTGTGTGTGTGTGTGTGTGTGTGTGTGTGTGTGTGTGTGTGTGTGTGTGTGTGTGTGTGTGTGTGTGTGTGTGTGTGTGTGTGTGTGTGTGTGTGTGTGTGTGTGTGTGTGTGTGTGTGTGTGTGTGTGTGTGTGTGTGTGTGTGTGTGTGTGTGTGTGTGTGTGTGTGTGTGTGTGTGTGTGTGTGTGTGTGTGTGTGTGTGTGTGTGTGAGAGTACTGTTTTTAGGGTTGGTTTGAAGGGAACCCCCCCGATTTAGGCACACCTATATTTGGGGTGTGATGTTAGTAGGGCACCCTGTGGTGAACAGTCATCGTCGTCGTCATCATCAGCATCACCATCACCATCACCATCGTCATCATCATCATCATCATCATCATCATCATCATCATCATCATCATCATCATCATCATCATCATCCAGGTGGGATTCATGTCCATCAACCACTTGCGAGGTGGTTCCTTCTTGAAACCCATGGCCATATTTCTCTTGCACCGCAAGCGCATGCATCGATTTTTCTCACACGGTTCGTCGCAGTGCTTGCTTTCTGGGGTCCCCAAGCGGCTTGGGACTCTTGGGCGGCCCATCTGTCATCACAGTTGGAACTCTTTGCTTTGAAGATTCGATGGCCTTAGAGTCAGCCTTAGAGTCAGCCTTAGAGGGGGTTCCTTTCAGAAATCTCATCTAGGCACCCTCCCACGCCATACTTAGAACAAATGGGTCTGTCTTTTTGAGGGAACCCCTTTTTGGTTGGTTTAAGCTGAAGCCAACAGGAGCAGCTTCACCGTTTCAAGTCAGATCACGCGTGTTAAAAAAGTGTGAGAGGCACCTGCTACGAGCTGTGGACCCCCAAATACAAAGGCCCATGGGTGCTTCTTTTCAGGTATCCCTTAGTTGGTGGTTTGGATTGGTAGTTTGGGGATGAACCCATGGTTCTTGTGAAGCAGAAATGGAAAACCCATCCTTAACCACCAAACCACCAATTGGAGGGAAGCTGACGTTTTGAGATTGGACAATCCCTGGTGTGGGGATTCATCCCTAGAACAGTACACCCCTATGAGTAGGATGGGTTTCTTAGGCCGGGGTCAACATGAGTGGCTTTCCTTTTTCGACCTTCGGAAAAGGGGTATCCTCCAACAAGACACATGGCCATGGGTCAAAATCGAAATCGACCCCCCAGTGAAAATCCCAATCCCCACTAAAATAGGTTCTAAAATGGGTGGTGCACCAATCCCCCAAAATGGTACCATTGGTTTTTACCCACAGCCACATGCCTACCAAGGTCCGGATATTTGTCTTTCAACGAGAACGACGAACCAGGTGGACCATAAGGTTCAAGCACGTACAAGAATCACTGCAGAAAAATCCTCCACAGAGTTTTGCTTCATCTAGAATCTACCAATGGTGCTTGCGGATTTCTGAAATCTGTAAATCCGGTGTGAGCCAAGCACGCCCAGGACTTTTGTGAATCGAAAACCAGGTTTTCACTTGAATAGCCTGGTGTTGCTTCCTGAAACCCGTACAAAAACCGTACAAAAACCGTACAAAACCCCTATAAACCAGTACAAAACCCTTCTTTTTCCGCATGCTCTTTGAAACCCAGGTTTCCCTCAACCCTCAACCCTAAACCTTAAAACCAAGTCACGCCTTTTTTGGTTCGGATTTTGGAGCAGCAGATAGGCTCCCGTGATGGAACCCATGCTCTGCGCACCCCTAAAGACGCCTTCGCCTGGGCGGTTGGCCCCTTGCTGAAGCATGTCTAGGTCCTCCAGTAGAGAGCTTCGAAGAAGTTGGTACCCGATTTTTATCTCGGTTGCTTTCTGCTCCCCTGCTAAAAGTTTAACTTTTAGTGGTTTAGTGGAACCCCCATTAGTTGGCAAAAAGTTTGGTTTACTTTGAAAGGAAGCCAGCCGAACGTCCTGGCAATCTCTGTGGAAACCACCCATTTTCCAGGATTTTGGCCCATTCTTTGAAGAGAATGATGCCTGAAGAGAATGGGAGGGTACAGCTAGATTTGCTGCTTTTGCTAAAGTCCTAACAGCCAAGCAAAATGCACCCGATTTTTCTTCTGTAGTCTATTTTAGTAGGAAACCCCCCCCCCAAAAAAAAGGGCGAGAAATGGCACTACTGCGGGACCTAGGTTTCAACAACCTCCTGTTGGTGCCGAAAGTAAGTGGACACTCGGGGTTGGTTGGCTAAACACGTC